TTAAAATATCATTCTAAAATATAAATATAATCATAATATGTATAAAACATAAACATAATAATAAATATTAACATTCATTCTAATTTCTTTTTAATAATTTTGTATATTTTACATAATTGAAAAAAACAGTTCTGATATAATAATTATTATTTTGTGTAAATTGTATGATAATTTTCTTGTGAAAGAAAAAATCCTCCAAATCAAATTTGTTCACGAAAAAAATGATTTTGAAGTTCAATGAAAATTTAGCTGTATACAGATCTAAAAATAATTATGTTAGACTATTAAAATAATTATGCAGTACATTCAAATTGTTTACTAGAATGTCAAAAGTTTTTATAGCATTATTTGTCACATCAGTTTTTATAGCATTGTTTGAGTTTCCTACATAATTATTTTAATGGCCCAGCAAAATTATTTTTAGATCTATTTACTAGAGTCTACTCGAAACTACTTTTTAGTCTCTGGCCGAAACCGGAAACAATATACAATTTTTATTCAAATTCGACTAAAACCCGAAACCGAAATTTTTGGATAAATCTTACATCATATGATTTTTAGAAAATCATTGAAAATCGAACTATGTAAAATTTATGTATTCTTTTAAAAATCAAATATTATTAATATCTTATTATTCCTTAAATTATAAAGAATTTCCTATAAATTATAAGGAATTTCAGGCATTAGACAGCAATTTGACGAATAAAAAAAGATAAAGAAAGAAGATAGCGCCGATATAATAGTTTATAGCAATTGACGCCGATTAGTCGATGATAACCTTATTGAAAAAAATTATGTCACAAAATTACGTAACGAAATCAATTAAGATAAATAAATCACGTAACGAACTGTTTCAAACTAGTACATGATTTTTAAATTACGTAATTTGAAAAATCACATAATGCTTTTTTTTTCTATTTCTATTATTCAATTTTTTAAAATTCGATAAATATAAAATCACATAATGGATGGAATTAGTTCTAATATCATTTATTTAAAATCTAACATTACGTAATTAAAAAAAAATCATATTAATAAAATCGTACTAATTTGGATCAACAATCCGATATGTGATTTACTTGTCTTAATTACATGATTTCGTAACTCTTATCTGATTTATGTAACTCTGTAACGTGATTTTTTTTTTAGTAAAGAACATACATTTTTCGAATACTTGCCGGCGCGATGCAATTTGCAGTTTCGATTTACTTACGAAATGTTCTCTTAATTTCAACCGAAACTGAAATCAAACCGAAATTCCGATTTTTTATCAAAACTGACTGAAATCAACATTTCGGTCGGACTTTACTGACTACTTAAATTTTTAGATACTTCAAAAATAATTCTTTTTGTGTTAAAGTTGTTTCCGAGACAATATCTGCGCGTTAATAGCAAATTCGACTTGATGTACTCAGCGAGAATTGATGCACATTAAAAGCCGTCGTACAGATTGACATAAAAACGTGCGTTTAATATAGAAATAGATTAAACTAAATATTCAATACATTTTATTGTATTGTTAGGAAAAATTTTATTGTATTGTGTATTAAAAATCAATAAATAATAATGATTCCAATAATTAAATAAATTGAACGATATAGAGCTAATATAGAGCTAAGAACTCGGGATAATGTGTGAGTAATAATATTATTGTAAGCAATCTAAAAACATACAGACGATTTTTCGATCTCTATCGGGTCCTTCTCAATGTTAAAAAATAAATTTTAATGTTACCGGTAACTACGTAAGATGTTCAATATATAAAAAGTGCATTCGCATGTTGTAAAGAATAATTATGGCAAGACTATATACGGCCTAGATTCAATCAGCTTCCCATCGGAACTTGTTAATCTATTTCAGAAGTCACATAATCGTGATCAGAGATTTATTTAATATCAAACTTATATGATATAATATCAAACTTAATGTCGAACTCTGAGATGTAATCTTGTTTTGTTACATCTCAGAATTCGATAATATTAAGACAATATTAAATTTGATGTGATAGAAATCTTGCCATAATTATTCTTTTCAACATTTTTTTATATATTGAATATCTTACGTAGTTACTGGTAACATTAAAATTTATTTTTTAACATTGAGAAGGACCCGATAGAGATCGAAAAATCGTCTGTATGTTTTTAGATTGCTTACAATAATATTGTTACTCACACATTATTCTGAGTTAGGTCTTAGCCCTATATTGTATTGTTTAAAAATGTGCATTTTATAATTCGAAATATTTGCATTTAATTTTTACACCCAAACAAAATCCGTATATAATGGTTTTAACATGCAACAGTGCGCACTAGTGCGTCTAACCGAATTCGCTGGAAAACACCGCTCTGTACATATAAAATTAATTTTCCGTGTGTTTGCCTGTTGTGATATCAAGCGAAAAGGGCAGGAACAGTACTATAACTAAGCGGGAGTCCAGTAAATACGTATACATGTATATATATACCTTGGTCAAACAACTCAGAACACTCTGTGTATATGATATTATTGATTTCCGAGTCATCCTAGATAATTATTTTCTTTCGCAACAAACCTTGTGCAATTTACACAAAAGTAGCACGTGCTCATCAGGAGCCCACACACGTCGTAGAATATCGCGCAAGTCGGATCGTTATGAAAAAACACACGTGTATTTTTTCATCGCGGGCACAAAGTCTCGCATTCTCATTCATTTAGCGTGTCATTTAGCACCGAACGCGTGGTTGATCGATCCTAATTATTTGTCGTTTGTTCAATAGAGAGATCGTCGATACATTGTGCGATCGAAACGAAAACTCGAAACTGTCGTTTGAAAAAAATTCGCGCACGAAAAATGACGTGAAATCATTTTCATGCGTTAAGTATTTAAATTCGAGAAACGAAAACCGTTTATTAGAATATATGAAGTGATTAATTAAATCTTCGATCGACAGAATAATCCGAACAAAATTTCTGATTACATAATTCGTCGCCCTTTATTTCCGTTTTCATCATTCATGTAAGTTAATTTTAATTTTGATTCAACTTTTCACCATTTTTCAATTTTTAACACTAGAAAAAAATAAAAAATAAGTTGAACTAAGGTCAAAGTTAATCATTGGTGGAAACCGGCATTAATCTTTTTTTTTTTTCATATATCAAACGATAAAGAATTAATAATTAATTCCGAGTTAACAAATAAGTGCTGATTCACCTTTCTTTTTTTTCTAATTCATAAAAAAAGATACAAAACAAATTCAACCGAGAGTTAAAGTTAATCTATTATCTTCATGGAACTGAATGTTAATAAATTTTTTTTCATGTCAAATAATAAACAACTAACAATTCCATCCGTATTAATAGAACTTAACAGATCTTGATGACAAATTAATTGAAGTTCGATCGAAATCACTCCTAAAGTGACAGCACACGATTAAATATTAATACAGATCAAGAATTAATATTAATAATTAACCTTTATTTTTCGAAAATGGAACGATGAAGATGGAAAAAAAAACAGTAATCGAAGAGGAAAAGTGTCGATTTCAAAAAGTCAAACGTACATCACCGTCAAAAGAACATCCTCATTCTTTACTTGAAGTAGATGGAAAGGTTCGCTCCAATCGTTTCACTTAAAATAGATACGTTTCCGGTTTTGGTGTACTTAAACTTGAACAGTCCGGCGCGATCTAAAAGCGGCATTCTAAGAACAACATCCCGAAAATAACGGATAACATACACGAACGGAGATGTCGCTCTGCGTGAAATGAAATTCCTGTTTCGAGAAAGAGAGAAAAAGAAAGGCAGATACGTTGTGTTGCGACTGTAAAAAAAAAAAAAAATCCCACCGGAGAGACGCGCGGAGATATCCTTAACGACGTTTCCGTCCGAAAGCACGCGCGGAGTTCCGGCCGGAATTCACGCCGCCGGCACGCGCGAAAATTTCGCCGGGGAGGGATTTATCGGCGCCAACCGTCGACGGCGAAAGCCGCGGACGCCCGGCACGGGGAGGGGAAAAAAAAGCTCGTCGAGGACGCGCGGCGATCGCGGGGCACGAGTCCACGAGGACGGCGAAAAGGGGCAACGAAGGGGAAAAGGCGGGGATGAAAGAGAAGAAAGAAAAAAAGAACCGATGACAGGAATGTACTTACGAGTGTCATGTGGTGAGAAACCGCCGGAGCTCATTAACACCCGCTGCGACGGCAGGAACCGCGCCACGCACATCCGGAACCCGGTTCAGCCGTGGCCGAAAACATACACGATGCGGAACGTCCGACGACGCGACACGAACTCGCCGACGGTTTGAGGTTATATACCGAAGAGAGTGTGTGAGTCGGAATAGGTACGAGAGGGGGAGAAAGAGAGAGAGATAGCACGAAGGTGGGAGGGGAGAGAGAGAGAGTGAAAGAGAGAGAGGGGAGGGAGTGTTTCTTCAATCACCTGGTCGCACACATCGACGACGTAACGCGCCCAACTCGCCGCCGCACGTTCATTCGCTCTCTCTCTCTCTCTCCCTCTCCCTTTCTTTTTCCTTCTCGATACACGTAGATGTATAGGTATATATACGTGCCGATTATTCGCGAAAACCGACGCAACGTCTCTCTCGACTGACCGCATGCTCGACCTGGCGACTACTCAGCGGTTGGCTTTCTTTTTTTTCCTGGCACCCCGCATCTTTCTTCGTCGCGACGCGTGTTCCTCATCACTCGACGAAGCAGATATACTCGATCAGCGGTTTAACGCGACCGCGGAGCGGCAGGCGGCAGCATGTGCGGAAGAAATTTCCTAGGTGCCGAAGATCGGTGGAATGGAAATCGAGGAGAACGTGGAGAACGACCGCTGGCGAGAGCGATGAACAGTGAACGCGAGACGCCACCTAAGTCCAATTCCGCTTCACGAAATCTTTTAGCGAATTGTATGATTTTTTTTTTACCGTCAACGAGACACTGCGAAATAAGCTCCTTCGATATATAATATATCCTTCAGGGCGGCTTCGGTGATCAAGTTTCAAATCAAACTTTAATTGACTAGTGAGTACGATTAATTAAACTTTGATCGAAGTTGTCTCACTGAAAATCGCGACTCAATCAATGTCATGTCTAAAAAATTGTTAACTATAAATAAAATTGTTAACTATATGTATTTTATCGTCATATATTAATCCAATCTTTCTTTTCATATATGCATAAAAAAGAGATACTAAATTTTAATTAATATTTATTTGAATAGCTCTAAGTATTTACTAAATGCACAACGTATATTTATTACGAACTATTAATTTTATTTAACTATCATTTTTTATTTAATATTAAATATTTATTTACTGTAAGTAATAGCGAATTCGATTAATTGCACTGTGCTAGATTAATGTATATTTTTGAAATTGTTACAATTAAACTGCAAAATTAAATGTAAAGATTTATAAATATTTTAAATAATTAGCTATTTAATGGTTTTATCACGTTATTTAATAGAATATACATATGTATTATTTTATTGTCAAAGTTGATTACATCAGGCCACTGTATTTAAATACTTTATATAAAGTAGCACATTTAATATACACTAATGAGTAATAGTGCAAGTGATCGAATTTATCATAAACGTTTACTTAGAATACTATTTTTAAACAATATGAATTTGTACATATTGAATTAATTAAAAAAAAATATGTATTAATATTTAATAAATTTTGTTACTATATCAAATTACGAAAAGTGGTTTTTATTAAATTTATCTGTATTAATAAAATATTATTTATTATCGATTAAACGAAGTAAGGTTGATCAAACTTTAGTCAATTTTATTGATTGTATAAAGATCGTGATTTTGTACTTTCTATTTAGATACATGTTATAAAAAAACTTAAATGCTTATCATTTTTTTAAATATCTTTGTATTTAAAGAAAGATAAAGTAGGATTATTAATAAGTGTAAAAGATTTCTGAAATAATATAAGAAATGATATCAACTATTATGAAACGAGGTGAAAATTACAAAAATTTATTAAATGTTGTCCAATGAAATTATGAATATTTTAAATAAATATAGATGTAATAATGACTTCTTAATCAAAATAATAAGACAAAGAGCATAAGAGTCATTATTATATTTACATTTGTTTAGATAATAATTATAATTTCATTGTCAATACCCATATAATAAATTTGTTCACTCTTTTGTCATTTTCAAACAAAAGCTTCAAATTGAAACGTGGTACTCTATTACGATGCGAATTTGTCTTTGTTTTAATTATCATTTTATACAGTTATTCAAATTTAAAAAATATACGAAATTCTGTTTGATTCAATCAAGTTGTCAAGTTCAATTTGATCTTCGTCCTTCAAATACATTTGTTTTTGGGAAAAGTCCCTTTGTCTCATTATTATGTTTATAAGTATTCTAATAAATTCGCTCACTTTTGGAAGCTTTCCAGTAAAAGACACAAGATATAAGACTCATTCCATCCTTATTCAATAATCAGTAAGAAACAAAGATGGAATGACTCTTGTGTCGATTTGTACTTCTGCAAGAAAGCCCTTCCTTTATCATTTTCACCTCAATGAACACAATCGACGGTTTGAAATTGGCGCCTTGCGCAATTGGTTGATGGTTCGTGCATGAATTGAATGGAGGCGAGATGAACCGAAGCGTCCGTGGCGTCCGGAACGACCGACCGCCGCTCCTACGGCGCGCGGTTCAGAGCGCATGCCCCGGGGGGTTTATTATCTTCTTTCTGTTCAAGTGCCATTTCGTTGCATGCAGTGCAGTCTATAAAACAGAATGCGTTCTCCGCGGGTCTCGAGTTTCCTATCACTTATCGTCATTCGTAGCGTATAAACATAACAGCACGCGGTCATTAGCTCTCGATTCATATTGTTTACGTATTCGTCTGGCACATGGGAGGGCGGCCGGAGCGCGGCTGAAAATCGCGTCGAACCCGCTTCGTGTGAGACGACGAGCACATATCGCCGTTCGTGGCGTTCCCTCGAGGCGTCGTGATTACGGATATCGGGACGGGACTCACCTCGGACTTCGCGAACGCGCAAAAATGTCATCGAGCTACGCGGACGGGTTATCGCCGTACGAAAACAAAGGAGTGCTCGGACTGGAAGAGGTAAAAAAAATATTCGGCGGGACGAGATATTTTTTTTTCCCCTCTTTTTTCCGAAGTTTTCGGCAACGCGCGGTAAACGCGATGGCGTTTTGCTCCACGTCGCCAATTCCTCGCGGAGTCGAGTGACGCTCTACTTTTTTTTTTTCCATTGTTTTCTTTTTCCTTGGTTTTTTTTCTTTATTCTTTTCTGCTTGCAGAGATACGACAGCGTCGAGACTCTTCGTCTGAAATGTGGTCTCCTGGCTGACTGGATACAAGGCGCGCGTCACGTCGTAGTCCACACTGGAGCCGGTATTAGCACTGCGGCGGGTATTCCCGATTTTCGGTGACTATCGCATTGTCATTTCTCAAGATTATGAATTTCGTACCTATTCATACCCGAGTTCACTCCTGTATCTCCATTTTCCTATTCGTTTCCACCAAAGATTGCGATTTGATGTATCCTGGAAAGGAAAACGCAGAAGAATTTTTAAAGATTAAAGGAGTAATGAGATTAAAAACATATTGAACAATGCTAAATCGTTATGTATTATTTATGTGTTATTTATATAAAAAAGGTTCCTCATACCAAAAGTATTCCAACTTTTAAAGATACTTACATAAACATACATATTTATGTATTTTTAACTTGTCCTTGTAATCTTAATATATTTCTATAATCCTTAAATATAATAAATACATGAAATTAAAGAAAAAATTAAGGAATTTAAATATGCAAGCAAATTTATAGTTATAAATTTATAGTTATTTATAAATTGAGCAAATAGAGAACTCCATAATTGGAATACAACATATTTATTTATATTGCCAATTTGAGCGACAATCTTTTTTGTACTAGGGGTACAAATGGTGTATGGACATTGGAACAAAAAGGTTTAAAACCTTCTATGAACATCTCTTTTGATGAAGCAATCCCTACAAAAACCCATATGGCATTGAAAAAATTGATAGAAACCAGTAAGTGTTGGCAAAGTAAATTATAAAAAAGAATATCAAAGTTCTCTTTATAAACATTTTCTTTTTCTATTCTTTTATGTTTTCTTTCTTTTTTTTTTTTTTTTTTTTTAGAAAAAGTAAAGTTCATTATAAGTCAGAATATAGATGGGCTACATCTACGATCAGGAATACAGAGGCAATATCTTGCTGAGCTGCATGGAAATATGTTTACAGAGCAATGTGACAAATGTGGCAGGTTTGTACACATACATAAAAATATAATTTCAAATATAAGGAAACAAAAAAAAACATAAATTGTTTAGATTTAATTAATATACTTAATTCCGCTCAAAAAAAAATTCAGTCCATTAAACAATAAATATGAGAAAATAAGTTCAATTATTAATCATGTTAGTTTTTTTGTAATAAGAATATTAAAAGTAGTCGAAATATAAATTATTTTGCAGACAATTTATTCGAAATTTTGCGACCAAAAGCGTGGGGAAAAAATCCTTAGATACTGTATGCAGATCGGAACAAATAGGAGGGCGCCCTTGCCGTGGCCGAATGCACGATACCATTCTTGATTGGGAGCATAATTTACCAGACAGCGACTTGACACTGTCTGACCTTCACTCCAGGTAAGTGACTATAATATTATGTATTAGCATTCAGAATAGCAGAAATTATAATAAAATACTTGCTATACGAAGCTATTATGCATGCAAACTTTAACATTCGTATATTAAGAATTTTATTAAAATTGTGAATGTAATAGTACACATGGTTTTCGTATGGCTTGCGGAATGTCTCAGGTTTTGTAATAAAAATTCTTGAAAATATTTATCTAAAATAGCGCGTATCATACATCTCGATATTGAATATAATATTTATACTGATGTTTTTTTAGTGTCGCCGATTTAAGTATATGTCTGGGAACAACGTTACAAATTATTCCAAGTGGTAATCTGCCTTTATATACAAAAAAATACGGAGGTCGTCTCGTTATATGTAATCTGCAACCGACAAAACATGTAGGATTATCACACGGCATAAATTTGTAAAAAGGTATTAAGTATATTTCATCACTGATAAAAATGTATACTTGTAGGATAAAAAAGCTGATTTAATTATCAATGGCAACGTCGACGAGGTAATGATCGCTGTCATGAATAAATTGGGATTTGAAATTCCGGAATATGAAAGCGGTATGGATCCAACACGAAATTCCGATACAACGGCTAAAGAGATGGACTGGACAATCCCGACCAGCAGAATAAAGGAGATGAATGTGCTGTATAAAAAGGTGTGCAAGCCGATGCGAAGAAAACGAAAAACGTTTATGTATGAGAGGGAGAGAACAGACACCAAAAAGGAAACTAAAGCCAGAAAGCAAGCATTTACAGTTAAGCAAGAAATCAAAACAGAAGCTAATATAACTACAGCGGGTGAAATGTGTAAGATCGAGAATGATCATGTGGCTGATAACTCCGTTAAGACAGAAGAAAATGCAAAAGATATTGAAAAGTGTAGATATTCGATGGAAGACGCAACGGAGCATAATACTGATCTGAAAATGAATCAAACGGTGTAGCAAGTTTTAATGAAGTAATAATTTTCCATTCTAATATTTCGATTATTCTCAGTGTACGCTAACAGTTGCTTATGAGTGCATATTTAATGATGTTTATTGTCCGTATGAAATATGCGATAGATTTGCTGATGTTCTCAATAGGTATTTGAAGCATACTCGCTGCACATTTAGTATTAAATGTGGCTCTCTGTCTTCTTTCCCTCTCTCTCTCTCTCTCTTTCTCTTCCTTACCTTCCTTCTCTTCCTCTCCTATTTTTCTATTTTGTTTTTGTTTATAAAGAAATATATTTCTTCGAAATGAATATATTGATGATGATATATTATAGAATATATTACATATATATAATACATTATATAATATATTATATAATTAATTTATAATATATTACAAATATATTATAAATTAATATATTTATATATTTTTATTCAAATTTATATTCAGAAAGGAACAACAGATACTTTTCTCGTTTGCAATGAGAATATTATTTCTATATAATTTTCGTAAGTACGTATAATAATTGTTGATTGTGGACATAAAACATTTAACATTAAATGTGCAATAAGATTACGGGCTCATAATATTGTTTTCAGGACATGTCGCTTATGACAAAGACAATGAAAATATTCCGATAGTTGTATATATTCTTATTAGTATCTACAAAGTTCTGTTTGCGTATTGCATCTGCTTGTTACAACTAGCTTATATATTTACACATATGCATATTAGATATTGCGACGAGAAATTCGATATAGAGAGATTAAATCTCTCGACAAGCAACGTGTTCCAGATTTCTCGTGCATAATATAATACTTTTTCCACTATAGATTATATTAATAAGATTTTTCGATAAATAAGATCTTCCTAGAAGACATTTCGCCAGTAAGAACTTCCATAAGCTTTTTTTAATTGAGAATAGCTAAATTCGAAGTAGTTGCTTGATCATAATAATAAGAATAATACATATATGAGAGCCTAGTATATGAATAATTTATGCCCATAAATGGTTGAAAATTATATCTCCAACAGATTTTTATATTATCTATTAAAGAACTAGAGATCGTTATATATATAATTTTTCTCTATCTTCCATTCCTTTCATGGATATCGTTGATTCTACAATTTTTAGCAAGAATATACATGTGTCTTGTATAGAATACATGTAAAAAAAGTGTGTATATCCATTAAGATTATTTTGAACGTCAGGGCTGAAATAAAATATAAATCATCAAGAAAGAGACAAAATATAAACAAAAAGGTCTTTTTAGTATAACGTGTTACATGCGATTGGATCATAAAAAAATTATGAATCCAACATCGTTTCTACTGGCGACATTTCCTGTGTGACTTCCTAAATAATTGCTTTCGTAAATAGATTATTCTGAATCCCGTTAATCATCCTCGATGTTCAGGTATGTTCGCCTTATGAAAATTGACAGCGCATACGGGACCGATTTGCGCGTCATATTATACATATAATACAAAGCACATGTTTGTATAAGTAAGCTTAGTAAGCTAATAGCACTATTTGCTACAAGCTGATGTTAGATTGTCCGATAATTCAGATGTTGAATTTTTAACAGAGTGCGCCTTTTTCCATATAGTGTTGAAGGGAATGTTGAAAGTAAAAGTTTTAACAATATCTCGCAGTTAGTATGCTAAACGATTTTTCGCGCGTAGATTATACAAGCTGCCACTTGTAGAGTGCATTCGATAGAATGCGATATAGCGAATCATGTAATATTTATATGTACATAGTGATGTTTGCTTCATTTATCGTAACACATGATTTTATTTAAGTAATTATTATTCGCCAGATATAATATTCGAAATAAAAAGTACATCTATGAAAACGATAAAAGATAATGTAATTTTTTCCAATTACCTCAGTCCATGAAAATCACTAAGTTTATATTATAACATTTAATTTAATATAAAAATGATAGAATATCACAGGATTATATATATCTTTCAATTTTATATATATTTATACATAAAATATACATACAAAATAAAAAAGGGATTTCCCCATTTATAAGTTTATATTATAGTGCTTCTCTCTCTTTATAATATTCATATTACAGCAGAATATTACGAGCATACCATTATATAAAAATGAACATTTCCCTAGAGAGCATTTGAGTTGAAAATGTCTCTAGATTTGGATGAATTTTATAATTATAAAATTTGTTGTGGTAACACGACAAATATGATACATTCTTATAGGGATATCTCGCAAATATCGATAACAAATTGAAAAACATTTATTACTAGTAGTATTATCGATATTCTCTTTATTTTTTTCGAGAAATAATCGAGCCTTAATATGTTACGAGAGAAAACCGATTTTTATTAGAAAGAACAATAAAGTATCGACATAAAAAAAAACATTCCTTTTTCTTAAAGAACAAAAATAATTTTTAATTGTTTCCGTAATTGTTACAATTATCATTATTTAAGGAACATCTAAATACACATTTTATTATTATAAGCAATTGATAATGTACATGGTATTCCAAGTTTCAACAGTCAAACTGCGCCAGTATGTTCTAAAATAAGAAAAAAATGTTAGAATTTAATTTAATTTTATAGAAGCTTTATTAAGAATCAAGAGTTATAACAAAAAAAATATAATGATGTTAATATTTGTGGTTAAAGGTTTGTATCGAACAATCAGCTAATTATATCCATATGCTTTAAAATGAATTAGAAAAATTAAAAATATTTTCTTTCATGAACAGTACTTTTTTAATCCATACTCCATGGAATTAATATTATTCAGATGTGAAATAACATTTTGAAATGAGACATTGATAAAATCATATACTATTAATTTTCTGCAGCTGGCGCCAAAATCTGAAACAGTTACTATTGCTAGATAAAATCTCTCTTCCAAAATCCATTTATTTTTTGTTAATTAAAAGATACTAATTAATTTCAAGGAACCAATAATGACAATTCATATAAAAAGAATATATTTTAATATATTTTCGAATATATTTTAATAAATCAAAGGTGCCTATAAGAGTCAACACTGGTTAGTTATGTATAATAAATTTATTAGTTAGACATAAATTGTAGACGTTTCGACCGTCAATTTGGATTCTTAGCAATACAAATGTTTAATATTAAAGAAAAGTATTCATCATATAAATAACATGAACATCATAATTTAAAATTATGTAAACGAATTAATGCCGATTGATTTGATGTTCTTTCTGTTTTTATGTGTCCAAGAACTATTCATTTTAATTGTCAAATTAAATAACAAACGCTTGGAATAACCTACGTGGTGACTCAGGTGACTCATCATATCTGATCTCGAGCGTGCGATGAGATTGCTTGGAATAACCACACAGGTTATTCCAAGCGTTTGTCATTTAATTTAACAATTAAAATGAACGAGATACATAAAGATACATAAAGATACATACTCTTGGATACATAAAGATATATAAAGATACAATTTGTATCTAAACTCTTGGATACATAAAGATAGAAACAATATTAAATGCCAGCATTAATCCAATATTAAATGAATCAGTATTAACCCACAATTTTAAATTATGATGTTCATGTTATTTATATGACGAATACTTTTCTTAAGTATTAGACATTTGTATTGATAAGGATCTAAACGATCGAAACGTCTACAATTTATGTCTAACTAATAAATTTATTGATTAATAACTGATTATTATATGACTAATAATTAATGTTGGCTCTTATAGGCACCTTTATACTTTGATTTATTCTTCAGAATATTTGCTATTTATTGTATATTTTAAGAATAATCTAATTTAATGTAATATAAACAAAATAGATTGTTTAATTTTGACAGAAATTTGTTATAATTGAATATAGGGATACTTCAATATATTAACCATTCGATATACAATGCTTCGAAAGGTTAATAATCAGAGTAGATTTTTTTTTTAATTCGTGATACCTTTTATTATTTTTTTTTATAAAGTTTTTGTAGATCTAATCTTTAAATAATATTTATATTTCTTATGTTTATTTATTATTCTTATGTATATACAGAAAAATATCGACTGTGTTCAAATATTAATTACTCATTGGAAATATTTAAAAAATTCATAATATTCGCAATTCTGTCATAAATTCGTTACAAACATAAAATTTACTAAAATATGTTTTGAATCCTAATAAGTTCATTACTTCCATCAAGATTATTAAATTAAAATAAATTCGATTGTATGTTTAATTATTATATAAAGCTGATAAAATTTTATAATATTAAAAAAAAGTAAATTTTTATTTGAGTACATAATAATGAGTTTTTTTTCAAATTTGTACAATAAATATATTTTAAGATTGTTATTTAAAAAAGTAAACTAAATAATAGGCAGGGATCCGAACTGAACTGAAAAAGAAACTTAAAACATTTATACCCTTTTTTTTAGAAGAGTCAAAATCGAAACTGATATAAAACTATAACATTTATTTGATGTTTTATAATAGAATCGAACTGAAAAAAATTTTTAGTCTAGGTCCCTGCTAAGTAATCACTTTCTTAGCAATAGAATGATGTATTTTTCTGTGTGTAAAATTCAAATTGACAGTTTGATTGTTAAAATACATTTTATCTCGTAAATTTTTGTTTTAAAATTGCATGTGATTAATTTAAAAGTAAGGGGTGTAAATACATCATAAAAAATTAGCGATGTTCGGTTTTATTAGCAAAGCATACTGATTATACCGACCTGTTTGCCTGGTTTATCGTTATCTTTATCGCTTTCATTTCTAAATATTTCTTTTCTCAAGTGTACGCAACCATCACTCGCGCGAAACGCATTCGTCTTCTCCCACCCATATTGTATTGCAGGCTACAGGGATTCCTGAGAGAGGCATTATGCTCTTCGGGACTCTCCCTCTTCCTTCAGAAACGTCAGTCACTTCGTGTTGGAGAGACATATTTATTGCGTGTGTAAAGAATCGACACCACGTAGTTGACATCCAACTGTATATCAGCGCATACGTCGCGATTAACACTATTAATTAAGAGTGCTAATTATAGACACAAGCTTTAAGAGCGGATAAATGGAGAATAAGAAAGCCACAAAGAAGTTTAACGCCACCAGAGTCGCAGTCGGTCAGTATACGATTATTGCAGTCCTGTGTATAGATTTATATATAACAGAAAAATTAAACGAAAAACTTGTGTATATGTGTGCGTATTATTTTGACGGTTTGTGTGTAAATGCAACAATCGGAATATCGGTATTTTCGAGATATTTACGTAATTATTAGTGTTACTACTGTTACGCAATTACGAATAGCCAAATACTTATGAATTGAATGCAAAATATTTTCTGCAAAATATTCTCTATGATGTATCACTTAATTATAGACTTAATCTTCTAATCGCAATACGCAGTTGCATCATCCTTTACACGCATATTTTGAAAAATAGATACATGTATAAAGTTGCATTGATAGAAAAGTGATACGCAAATAAGAAATTAGTACTTTTTAAATAATGAAAAGTAAATTTTTAGGATCGATTTTGATATTTTTACTTGTCATTTTGTTGTTTTTTTTTGTCTTTTTATGCAGCGATTGTTTAAATTAAAAAATATTTTTTAAATGTACATACATATAGTGATATCACACAATAACGTTATAATATTTCTTTATAATTACAATTAAAATATTTATAAAAAAATAATTTCTTTACATTTATACAAAATTGTATGTATATAATTCTTCATCGTGACAAATATCGATTTAATTATTCCTATATATCTAATCGAATTATTAATTCCTATATATCTAATATATAAAATAATATAAAAGAAGAAAATACAATTAATAATACAATTTAGAAATTTATCAATATAATAGTGTCAGATATTCATTTTTTTCTTAGTTTTATCACATATTATTTGTCTTTCTTTTGACATCTAAATTTCACAGTTTTATCTGATATCATAAAAATATATACTGAATCGTTTATATTGAATGCATTTTATCGAAACAGGATATCAAATAGTTTTAAAAATAGATGCTCTCATGTATATCTAACGAAATTGTAATACTTTGGAGACACGAACTCTCTTAAATTCGCAGAAAATCATAATGTTTTAATAATTGTAAGTATCTGTCTTCGCATGTTCAAATATTTATCATGATCATCAATTCTTCTCCATAACGTCCCACTGCTGTATAGTACTACAATTTTTATCGCGAATGAAAGATTCCAGAACGCGCGCGTGTCGGCTAACATCAATCAATGTTGACATTACTGTAATGCCAATTGACGTGTGTATCAGACGCACAGCTATATGCTTTACACACGTTTAATCCACTTTCAGTGCACTTTGCTCGGCACAATTGATTCCTTCATTTCTCCAGGATACATAGTATGGAATTATTCAAAATTGATTTGATTTTTCCAATATATTGAATAATTCCGAGAATTATTCAATTATTGCCTAGATTTCTATTGTATTTTCTAGAGAAAAAAGCATTAATTCCAATCGGAATCCATTCCGACTTGTATCGTGATAGCTGTAATATCAGATTTGCAATAAATTGAATTCATAAATAATAAATTACTTACAACGTTGTATACAGGATATCTCATTTTAATCGATCACCTCAAATATCTCTTGAACAGTGCATTTTAAGGAAAAATATTTCAGACAAAAATTTATTTTTACACTAAAAATTCATTTCTACATAAAAATGAAAATAAGAGGTACAATCTCCAATGATTTTGAATTTGACAAATATTATTCAGAACATGATTCTGAACAATATTTAAGAGGTTTTAACCATCAGTCGGGCACTTTGTAATGCTAATGTCTGCGGTGCTGTAACTTGCAAGCCTTGTAACTCGAAAAGTACTTAACGAAAATGAACTTACAGTATTTTGGAAAGCTCTCAAGGTAAGCTACATGAATACGTAATGAAAAATAAGGAGTTTCATTTCAAAAAAAATTCAAAGTAACCTTGCCCTGACCTCGACGACGCCACCTAAAATCAATCAAACTAATGGTACCATCTTATGTCCCCCTCAAAGTCTCAAAAGTTTTATCTGAAACATTTTTCCTTAAAATTCATTGTTTAAGAAATATTTGAGGTGATCGATTAAAATGGAACACCCTGTATATGTACATTTTGTAATTTATTCGTTATAATTATTTCGAATTCTATGGAAAATTATTAATAGTTAATTATAATTAATATCATAGTTAATCATAATTCAATTTAATACATAAATTATATTATTATTATTATTTATTTATATTATAATTCATTGTTTAAGAAATATTTGAGGTGATCGATTAAAATGGAATACCCTGTATATGTACATTTTGTAATTTATTCGTTATAATTATTTCGAATTCTATGGAAAATTATTAATAGTTAATTATAATTAATATCATAGTTAATCATA